GAAAAGTTTTAAATTTAATTTTAAACTGAGAATTTTTTTTTAATTTTGATACGAACACCAGCATTTTCAATACAATATGCTAATTATTTTATCTTTATTTTTAATTGAGATTGGGTAAGAAAGGTTTTAATAATGTCTATTTTCAAATAATGTAACGTCTAATATATCTTAAACTTCGCCAAAATGGGCAAGATTGTCTATTTAAGTTGCTTATTCTAAAAAAACAGCTTGATGTTGTAAGCATTTGTAGTTAAAGTACTGCAAAATAATAAGTCGTTGCTTTCGTTTCCTTACGAACGGACGCACAAGTCTAAATCAAATTAGAATTTTACAATTTAAAAGTTATATAAATAGTATTGTAAAAACTAAAGTCATGAAATAAAAAACATTAAGTTGCCATTTGTCTATTTAACAATCCATCAAAACAAAGCTAGTTTTTCCCTAACTTGAAACTTTTTGCAAATTTCATACTTTTCGACCTGGTCTAGCGAAAAAGAATTGAAAAAAAAAAATAAAACGTCATGTTCCAGTTTTTCTGGCAATTGAGCAGCGCAACTTTAACTTTGGTTTTACAATATATGCGAATAAAACGCGTGAATGTATAATCAGTTAATACTAATACTGTATTTGGTTATGCGTATAAGATGAAATTTCTCTGCAAAAAGTCTCAGGTACGAACCCTGCAAATGCGGTTTGTCAGATGATCTTTTTTTAATGATAATTTTATTTTGTTCTTATTTTAAATAAAATTAAAAAAGCTTTACCCTTACTAATCACTATCAGCAAGTTTCCGCCCCTAAATATTTTTTTTGAAATTACCCTATTTATAAAAGTTTAATGCAAAAAAATAACATTTTCTTATCACATTTTGTCCTAAAAATATATTGTCAAGAAATTTAATGTGCTTACTGATACATTTTGAAGCAGATCGCGAAAAGAATGTATAACTAAATGCATACCAACATACTTATAATGAAACAATGTAGATTTTATTAACTCTTTACAATTATTTTTACTTACTTTTTGTTATTACTCACACTTCCAAAAATGAATTTATATGCTAATGCATGTTTAATAATTTTATACCATAATAAATAATTTTATACCATCAAAAGCAAGTAAAATTACCTCTACAGGATGTCGCACCATTTTGTAAAAAGCCGTCGCAAAGCTTCTTGCGATAGGGTAAAGGGGGAGGGTGGGTGGAATTTTTACTTTTTCTGCGACCCTAGAGATTAGATCCTATCTATTGTCTTTTGTCCCATGTCTCTAATCCTTCTAGAAGTACCCGCTCTTTTTGACACCACAGAAGTAGCTATATATATATAATAATGTAAAATAAGATGGTTTTTGAAGATTTATACGAAATATGAATAAAATAAAGAATTATAAAGTGAAATCCAAGTTACTGCGAAGCCTGGTAAGTAGCGCGGTAGTCTGATAACCAGAAGGTTATGAGATCGATGCATGATGGGATATTGTCGTATTTTTCTTTTTTTGAATTATTTTAAAAATTTTTGTTTTTATTTCAAATTTTTTGCTTTATTTGTTTTTAATATATAACAGATAAATATTATTATAAAAGTAAAGAAAAATTTCCAAAAAAATATTGTTATAATAGTTTGGAAAATATTGTTATAATAGTTTGGAAAATATTGTTATAATAAAAAATACATGTATGTATATTTTTTTAAAGATTCCTAACTAATTTTTTTAAGCTTCCTATATGAATTGTATAATATTCCAAATGAAACATCTGATGTACTTAAAGGTTCCAATGTCAGATTTTTTCTAGGACCCTAGAGGCAAAACCCTACCTAATGCCCTTCTGTCACATGTCTCTAGCCCTTCTAGAAGTACCCGTACTTTTTGACACCTGAGAAGTAGCTATATATCTTTAATGTGAAGTAAAAAAAGTATGGATAAAATTTTAGAAATTAGGTGTTTTATTTTTGAATTCTCATTTTTTAAGAAGAAAGTAAAAAATTACAGAAGCAACAAAAAGTTTCTTCTTATTCTTCTAAAACAACCGAAATTTCAACATTAATTAAAACTTAAGCATTTCCAATAATCATGTATTATATTTTGTTTCTTTGTTACAGAGATCCTATGGATGCTTTATTACTAGAGCAACACTTACGATCACCTCTTCGTTTGTTTCCTGACCCTTTAATAACACAATTTACCCAGCAAGATGCTGATGCAGCGTCAATGGCAATTTTAGAAAAAGCTAGGCAACATTTGCAAATGTGGGGTAGATCACCATATACTGAATTGTTGCTGCCTCAAATGTATGCAGCACAACGACCTAACATGGCGGCTTTGAATTTGGGACTATGGCAGCAACAATGGCCGCAATTATCTGCTGGATTTTTAGCGGCAAATGCTGCAGCCAGTATATCTAATCCAAGAACTCCACCACCACCGCCTACAGTATCGACACCATCAAGTTCCGGATCTCCATCACCGGATATAAGAGCTAAACATTTTCAAAGATTCAGTCCTTATCATGTACCCCAACATCCACCAACACCTAGAAGTCCGCATAATTAGTAAAATTATATACTTAAAAATGCTATAATAGTATTCTGCATAGTAAAAAATCAACAATATTTGTTGATGCACATGTATTCACTACTTTTTACATAATATGTAATATACATGTTCATACATACAAGTTAATTCAAAAAGATTTACAAAAATATATATACCATTAATCAGAGCGTCAAAAATGTGTAAAATTTTTGTTTCGGATTAGATGAGAAATCTCAAGGGCTTTCAAGTTACAGCAATTTCTACAAATTATCACGAAATTTCTATTTATCCATATTTATTTTGAAGATAAAGGCTTCAAAAAAATAGTTTCTGAAAGGCATAGTAAAGGGCTTAAAATCAACATGTTACATGATTTTGTATTTTCTGTGCTTTCGCAGTATCTAGCATTCGAACTTTGGAAAAACTTAAATTTTTTTCTATTTTAGTTTTTTTAGTTTTCGTTAAGCCGATGAATTCGCACGAAATTTTTTGAAAATTTGAATTTTTTTTACAAAATTTTTTCCAGTAGTTTAACTTTTAATTTAAGTTCTCAAACGTTAAAAAATCATTACTATGTCAAGACTTTGCCACCACCATATCAAGAGAAAGCATTTGGTTTATCCTAAAGTTCGAAAGCATATAAAATACAAAACATGTAACATTTTGACCCTGAAATGTTAAATTAAAATCAAAATGTTACTTGATCATTTATGAGGTTTTAACCCTTTTACTAGGCCTTTAAAAAACTGTTTGTTTGAAGACCCTATTTCTTTTTGGAACGGAAGTTATAATCGAAAAATTTGGACAAATTTCATTTCATAAAAATTCATTAAAATCCATGTAACTCGGAAAACCTGGTGATTTCGCACCTAGTCGCGAACAAAAGTTTCGCCCATTTTCAACCCTTTGATCAATGGTGTATATTGTTTAATATCTTTCTGAATCACCCTGTATATATATATATGAGTAAAAATATTATTATGTTTTAAACTGACTATGGTCAGAGACGACAATTTTGGAAAACGTTAAAATTATTTAGATGAATTGTAAAAAACTATGTAACTACTTGTTGTTTTGCTTTTAGAAGTATGATGATTTAATTGTAAGGACATAACGAAGAATAAAATTTTAGATTTTAAGTTGAAAACTATGTATATCTATGTATATGTACCTACACACAAATTTATTTAAAAAATTTTCTAGGGGAACTTACCATCTATTTTTAACAACAAAAATATGTGCTTAAAGATTAATCAGTATTATTTTGTTTTAAACCTTTTAGTTTTATTTTTGTAAAATTACATTTCTCATATTTTTGTTAATAGTAATTATGTAAAATTTTCAACAGTGATTTGCATGAATGTTTTTAGTTTAAATGAATACATCTTGTTACAATGTTTTGATTTGTTATTTCGCTGAAGTCTGAATAAAATATTATAGATTAATTTCAAAGATTTAGAATATTAAGGTTATTATAATATTGAATAATTTATAAATTAAATATAAGTAAAATTAGTATTTCTGTTCCTATTTAATTATACACATATATGTACATATATATATATATATATATACAGGGTGATTCTGAAAGTTATACAACAACATATACTATTGGTTAGAATATAGAAAATAGGTAACACTTTTGTTCCGGACTGAGTGACAAATCTCAAGGGTTTCCAAGTTCCAGGGATTTCAACGAGTTTTTACGAAATTTTTACTTATCCAGGTTTCTTTGATTATAACTTCTGTGCTGAAAAAGATAGGAACTTCAAACAAGCAGTTTCAGAAAGGCTTAGTAAAGGATTTTAAGTTTAGAAATAATGCTTGATTCTGTATTTTATGTACCTTCGGAATACCAAGCATTCGAACTTTAAAGAAAATAATATTTTTCCGTTAATTTTTTCAGTTTTTTCTAACTAGATAATTTCGTAAGAAATTTTGTTATATAGCATTTTGTCCAGCTGCTAAGCTTTAATTTATGTCCCCAAACATTAAAAAATTTTTTATGCTACAAACGATGTACCACAAAAACCATTTCTATGTTAAGATTTTGAAGACTCTTTAAGGTAAGGATTTTAAGCGTTGTAATTATCAACTATCATTAATTTTTGGTGACAATAGTCACTCGAAAAACCAGTTGACATTTTGAACGGCCGTTATTTTGATAAAAAATCTGAATTTTAATGTTTTTATTGAATTGTAACAAATAATAAAAAAATTAAAACGAAATTTCATACAAACTTTTTAATTGAAAAACAAAAATTTAATTTAAAAAATTTTAAATTTTTGAAAAGAAAAACTAGAATTTTGTATTTCGAAAAACAAAAAAAATCTAGTAATTAAAAAATTTTTTCTTGGTAAAAAAAATTTATAGATTTTTTATTTTTGCCAGTTTTTATAGGAAATGGTTTTCTAAGATTGGGTGCAATTTAAAAATTCAAAAAAAATATTTTCGAAATCTAGACACCATTTAGTATCTAAAGATATTAAAATTATCCAGCTCAAACGAGTCCATATAAATTCTGACATTTATTTTAATTGGAAAAAAAAGTTTTTTAATAGGAAAATTTAAATTTTTTGAACAAAATGGAGTAAATGATAAGGTATTAATATTATAAAGCTAATGAATAATTAATAAATTTTAAACATATGTATTTCTATAAAAACTAAATTGGCATATGGTTGATGCAACTAAATAGGTATTATAGTAAAGCAATTGATTTAAAATATGCGATTGAATAGAAATCCATTTGAAAGAAGAAAAACATAAATTTTTGCCGAACTAGGTGAATTTCATAGGAGAATTTGGTATTCGTTTTGAGAAATTTGTAAAATTTTTAGATAGGAAATTCATATTTTCCTAACTTTTTGATAGAGGAATATTAAATTGAATTTAATTTTAGTTTTATCACCATCTGGTTTAATTCAATTGAATTTGTGGTTCACAATATTTGTGGTTTTTGTACTATAGCTTCTGTAACATAAAAATTTTTTTAATGTTTGACGACTTAAATAAATGTTTAAACAGCTGGAAAAAATTCTATAAAAAAATTTCTTACGAAATTATTTAGTTAGAAAAAACTGAAAAAGTTAAAACAAGGGAAAAATTTGATTTTCGTTAAGGTTCGAATGCTTAGTATTCTGAAGATACATAAAATACAGAATCAGGTAGCTTGTTTATTTTAAGAACTTTACTAGGCCTTTCAGAAACTATTTGTTTCAAGTTCCTATCTTTTTCAAAATGGAAGTTACGATCCAAAAACCTGGATAAGTAAAAATTTCGTGAGAATGCGTAAAATACCTGGAACTCAGAAACCCTTGAGATTTGGCAGCCAGCCTAAAACAAAAGTTTTACCCATTTTCGATCTTCTAACCAATGGTGTATGTTCTTGTATAACTTTCTGAATCATCCTGTATATACATACTTTTTATATATATACTATATATAAATATTGTTTAAATACTTTTAAATATTTTATGTTCCGTGATGCCTAAAGGTTTGCTAAAATAAAGAGTAATATTTTGTGTAATACCATAAGCTCGCCTATAATAAAAGAATTAAATGATTATTATATGAATGAATAATTTAAAAAATAATTTTATGATTATAAATGATATTATTAAATGAGTGACATTCAGTCTGTTTCTTAAAACTCATATAACTTCACGTTGTCACAAAATTTTGGCAACCAACAATGACAACAATAATATAACTACCGATTCACTTGTAACGCTAAGTCGACATGTATTATGTAACAGTAGCTATATATTATATGTGTATATAAAAGTTAAGTAGTACAAGTACCCACTTATAAGTTACTTTTACCCTGCACAGTCAGATATATTCTGGTCGCTGTATACCATGAAATGATTCTATCACATCCAAATCCTATTCATAATTAACATAATATCAACCATAAGATTTTATATAAATAGGCATGTTTGTTAATCGTCGGCTGACAATTACTTTACATTACGCGCCATTTAATCAGTTTCGAGAAAATTGAATTTAAAAGTTTGTTTGAACTTGTTGGGTAAACTACAGAAAAATACCTCTTTTTTAATGTTTAATAACAATATTGAAATATTTTTCTCTACATTTCAAGATTTTCCGAACACACTCTAGAAGCTGGTTAAAAAGTTGAAAGCATTTTTGGAAAGGAAAGTCACAGAATCGTGTTAATCCACCTCTCATTTGTTGATTTTTTTTAGCAATGTATGAGGTGACCTAAAATGCAATGGATATAGATTATTACAAAAGAAACTAAATATTCATCAGTTTCTTTGAAAGATTTGCAGTATAGCCTAAATTATTTTAAAAATTTTGAATGTGATATAAAAACAATTTTTGTTATTTTTATATTTTTTAAACCCTGCACCTTCTTGAAGGGTATATTAACTTTGGTTAATATACTAACCGCTAGAAGAAGCTTAATAAGGAGCTTATTAAGTTTGGTTAATATTAATGGAATTTGTAACCGCTAGAAGTAGTCATCTACGGTATGGACATATATATATAGTCTTGATCAGCGTAAAATTTTGCGTACAAAAACGAATAATGCAATAGGCACCGAACTTTCACAAGTTCTTTCTTTTGTGGCAAGGATGGCTGCTATAGTAATTGGACCAATTTGGACAGCGGGTTCGTAGCTGCCATACAACTCAAAGAGTTTAGTTTAAATATTTCAAAAACTAATAAAGGTATAAATATGAAATTTTGTATACGTATTCCAAATTATATTCTGCACACGCTCTTAAAATTTTGATGGGATGTTTGTCCCGGTTTGGGGAGCTCCCATACAAATTTAAAAGGTAATTTTAAATATTTGGAATAATAATAAAGTCAGATTCATTAAACTTGGCAGTTGTGTGTTTAATTATAGATCAGACATATCCGTGAAATTTCTATAGAATGGTTTTACAGGTTCGAGTAATTGCTATACAAAATGAAAGGTGCAGAGTATAATTTTTCAGTCCTAAGTAACAATTTTTATCTCATAAGATAAGAGAATATTATTCTTATAATTTCAGTCTTATAGAACACTAAAAGACCCTAGTGAAATCGTTATAAGAACAAAAGAGCGGAATTACTAGAGTTATTAATTCTTGTAATGAGAGTTAAGCTTTCGTTAAAAGAGTTTTTAAAGTATATAACTCTCATACCAAAACTAGTATGAGAAATACGAAAACTTTCACAAGCCGTTTATAATGGGGTAACTAGAAAGAGAAAGAAATACATTGTAGAATAAATATATCGGTATTACTTTGAACTTTATAAAAAACATATCTATTCCGCTTTTAATAATTATTTTTTTAACAAAAATAAAACAAAATATTCATATGTTTACGTATATGATATACATATAATCAATAAATATTTGTATTTAAAAATTTAATATTATAAAATTATAAATATGGGAAATTAAATTGATTTTTTTGCTGGCTGATAAAATTTTATTGATAAAAGTTGGTATTGTACTTCGAAAAAAAAGGAACTAAAATAATATTAACATTTAAAAAATTTTCATACATATTTTTTTAACCCTATAATATCTCATTTTTACTGACCGTATTGTGTATACAATAGGTAGGTTATGTGATAGCAACAAATTTTGCATTTCGAGTTTTCGGTGGGAATGCACTTCACTAGTAGGGAAGTGTAAGTAAACTATTTTTAGCAACCTGTCGGTCCGTCGGTCTGTTGGTCTGTCGGTCTGTCGGTCTGTGTGTGCACGCGTGTATCTCAAGTTTCGCTGAACCGATTTGGATGAAATTTTATATGTAAGTTTATTTCGACCATGGCACGGATTGATCAAGGCCTGATATATCCCAAAATCACGGATTGATTTTGGGATATATCAGGCCTCGGGAACTGCAATTTTTAGCGGGCCTGTTTTACATTTTTGAACATTTTGAAGAAAATACTCAACCAATTTACTTGAAATTTTATATATAAGCTTTTCTAGACCGTGAACCAACCGATCCGACTGCGAAACCTCCTAACTTTTGGAAGAAATCAGGCATCAGCAACTGGACGTTTACTACGGGCCAAACATACATTTTTGCGTATATAAAGAGAAATAACCAACCGATTTCATTGAAATTTAATATTTAAATTCTTCGTGTTGAAACAATGAACATATAAGTTTTTTGGAAAGATCAGGTCTCGAAGACTGATCTGCGGGCCGATTTTACATTTTTCACCACATCTACGGAACGGATTGATGGAAT